GATTCCACTAGTTAAGGTTATTTGGAGGAACCATAAAGTAGAAGAAGCTACGTAGGATAGTGAAGAAGATATGAGGAAGAAATATCCCCACCTTTTTGTGCAATGAAAATTCGAGGATGAATTTTCTTAAGGAGGAGATTTGTAACATCCTAATTATCTGGTCAATGGTTAAAATGTAAGAATTTAAAACTCGGTGGTTAAATTATAATAAGTTGATAAATTCAAGGATTTATGATGGAATTTCTGTATAGGGATTTATAGAAATTTTGATATATTGGAGAGGGAATTATGGTCTTTTCATGATAAAGGATAATTATTTGCTATATGTAGGGGTTAAACACGTGGAGTGGAGATTCTGAAAGCTTTTCCTTCTTTCTTTCCTTCTTTCTTTCCTTCTTTCTTTCCTTCTTTCTTTCATTCTTTCTTTCCTTCTTCTTCTTACCGTGCACCTCTCCATACAAAGGTAAGATTTTGAAAGTTATAGTTTTCCTTTCATTTTTGGTTTTGTTATGGAAGTTGGGGTGTTGTATAAGCTTAAGGAAAGCTTATATAGTATTAAAACAACAAGATGCGTCTATTAGAGATAAATTTTTAAAATGGGGTTTTAGATGAAATTTTGATATGGAGTAGTTTTTGAAGTTTTGTTGAGATATTTGACTTGTCAATGAGCTAATTAAAGGTTTAGGAGTATTATAAATGATTAAGAGCTTGGTTGAAAACATGGTATGATTTTTAGATGTAAGTGTTTTATTGAGATTTTGTATGTTTAGGAGTAGTAAATGTGTACCAATTGGTTTGGAAGTATAAGGGGGATTTCAAAGGCTTAAAGTATGATGTATATGATAGATTTAGGAGGTTGTTGGGGTTATTTTTGAAGTAAAAATGGTCATTATGGGCTTTGGGTATCGGTACCGTTAGAATAGTACTGATACTTCAAGGGATTAATATGTGTATTTTTAAGGGTAGTATCGATACCAGTTGAAGAGGGTATCGATATTGTGTGGGTAGTATCGATACCAGGGGGATGGTATCGATACCATTTTTTAAGATGCGATTACAAAATGCCAAATTGGTATCGGTACCTCGAGGAGGTATCGATACCCTTAAAGGAAAGTATCGGTACTGGAGGGGTAGTACTGATACTTCTAGGCATGAAATGGAAAGTAAGAGTTTCTTGTATCACAAGTTATTTTGATTGGATATAAATGATTCGAAGAACGATATTGCTTTTTTGATTGTTTTGTATAGTGATTGAACGTAATCAACTTCCTATCAGCACGACATATTAGGTATCGATTCGAAAGGGTTAAGGATTTAGACTAGACTTCAGTGAGGCAAAGGTGAGTGCAATTTCTCGGTTTTGTAACAGAATTAAGGAAGGCTTGCGATAAGCCAACCTCAGTGTTTTTGATCGAAAACTTTATAATTTCTTTATTGTTATATTGCAATGTTTTATTCAATTTGTATTATATGATCTATGTTTTATGATTATATGATTATGGAAATGTGAACTTTGAACAAGTGAATATGAAAAGACTCTATGAGAGAGATACTATATGAGTAAGAAACACTTCGAATAATGATTGAACATAATTATGTGATTAATAGCCCAAAGTATATGTACGAGGATTATAGGTATAGTTGTAATGCCAAGAGTCGAGGGTTTTATGTGGTCATTCGGGACAATAATGTGGTCATTTGGGATAAATATGTGGCACTTAGGTGCAAACCTGTGTGGCACTTGGGTGCAACATATGTGGTCATTCGGGATAATTATATGGCACTTCGGTGCAAATTACGAGCTGTGGTGATAACATTAGTGCAAAACCTCAATGTACTCAAATACCTAGTGTTCTCAGTAGTATACATTGGGCATTTGGAACAAAGATATACAAAGTTAAACTATTCATAATTATACTTTTGATATGGAAAATAATGTGAGTTCTTTATAAAACGTTTTAAATAAAACAAATAAGATATTGTTTACTAAGTTAGCACTATTAGTATTTGCCTCACTAAGTCATCGACTTAGCGTGTGATTTTCTCATGTGTAGGTTTGGAGAAAGCAGAATAGTGAAGTTTGGCGTGGATAGCGTACACCTTTGAAGATCATATCAGAATAAATTAAATGTAGTTGTTTTGTAATATTGTAACTGTTGGCATATATTATGCGTTTAATTTATAAATGCTCTGATCTATTTTGTAAACTCATATATTTTGTATTTTTGTATATTATCAAAGTTTTATGTAAACAGGAATGCGAAATAAGTTCCTTATTTAAATTAAGGTTTATACCTTTTTATGTCGATCAATAAATTTAAATTTGTTCTTATTTATTATTTGCATATGTTTTGAAAAATCAATGTGACACTTCAGATTCATATCCGGGTTGGATACGGGTCAGGGGTGTTACAGATGATGATTCGCGCCTTTTTGTCACACTCTCACAAAGTGTGTTAGATCGGTAAAATTAGGATGATCAGTGCCTGACAGGTAATAATTCAATGGTTGAGTTATTTTTGAGTAACAATTAGTTGAATAAAATAAAATTATCTTTAGTGACCAAAATATAAAAAAATAATCTAATAACCAAATTATAAACATTTATTAGTTGAGTAACTCAATATATTATTTATCCTAAAAATGATCAATTCTTAATTGATTTTTTATCATTCTAGTGTGATTTCATTATAAGTGATAAAATAGGTTTTTAATACTTTTAATCATTTAATAGTGAATGTTTAAATATCTCGTAGTTATTGATGTTCGAATCTAAAACCTATAAAAATAGTAATAATCTTCTCTTTAATCACTATAGTGGCTTGATTCTTACCGTGGATGTTGTGATTATACAAATCAAATTAAAAGCTAAGTGTAGTGAGTTAGATGGAAACTCAAAATAAAACAAAATATTCACGTAGGAGCGTGTAAGCCATTGATATGTGCGAGAATTATAGAGTGCGGTGGGATCCACCTAGGTCTTTATTCATTGATTTCAAGAAGAATTTCATACTCCTACTTATTTTATAAAATGTAAAAATATATAGCGGAACAATAATAATTATTAAAGTAGAACAAAAAATGATTAATTAACACACCAACTGCTCTCACTAAAAAAAATATCCATTTTAAGGTAAACTATATCCTATTTTAATACCTAAACATTCAATTTTAAAAAAAAATTATATTTATGTTTAGTTTTATTTCATTTTAGTATATTGTTATTAAAAACTTAACGCATTTAGTACCTAAACTGTTAGTTTTAGTCCATTTAGTACCTAAACTTACAAAATTTTCAAAACATAACGTTAAATTTTGAACGGATACTAACATTAAGCAAAAACTAAATTTTAGGTATAATTTAAAAAAATTAAAAGTTTATGCACTAAAACATACCAAAACTAACAATTTATGTATTAAATATATAATTTACCCTTGATTTTATGTTTCTCATTGGTTAGCAGTAGGGGAGTGCAAATTTAGATATCTAAAATTTTGGATAACTAAAATAGATATTCAAATCTGATCCGAAAAATCGAATACCCATATTTTCGGATTGAATATCCGATCCAAATATATCCCTTATTTTATTTAGAATTTATTTTTTTTTAAATAATGAGATTTGATAGTATCTTCGAAAAAATCATTTAATAAAAACAATTTCATTAAATTAATACGTAAATTTGTTAACTAATTAATATATACAATATAATATCAATTGAATAATCACGAATAAATAATCAAACATATTGGATCTTTGGGTCATGTGTTTAAAAATTAAATTGGATTGATCTATTCAATTAGTTGAATTAAGAATTAGTTGATTTGAAGGTTTAATTATATAATTTTAATAAAAATAATAAAAACCATAAATAAATCTATATTGTTTTACTAATTTTAGATTTTTAAGATAAAATCGATATTTTTCATAATATTGATTCCTTCTATTTTTAAAAAGAAAAATATAATTTAATCGATTTTTCAAAATGAAGATGAATTGTAGCGTACAATAATTATGTTGGTTAATTGATTCTCCACTAAATCATAAGCTAAAAGTTGTACTAAAATTGAATTTCCTTGGGCTTTGGTGCTTTCCTTGTAGGCCTGTGTGGTGGCAAATGGGGCTGGTTGGTATTGCCATCTGTTGTTGTAGCTGCTCCCATTGATGGCTTCTCCATGCAATCAGCACACAGTCAAATTCTCTCTCTTTCTTAATTGTTTTCAAATAAAGCCGAGACCTTTGTTATGTGAGAACCAGAGCTTGACTTGACTGCCTTATTTATGTTTGATTTTGAAAATTAAAGAGCTTTTCCACGATTGGGTATTCCATTTTAGTTAAACAGACATGGAGAGACCAGTTGGTTTTCAAAATTAAATCTCGGATTTGCCATTATTAGTCGTCATAAAAGCTTTTGATGCTCATTCCTAAGCTACAAGAATTACACAAACTCCACAATCCTCAACAACAAAAAACATAGGGGACACAATGATAGCTTATATACATAACTCGGATCCCATCTAAAGCTAAAATGAGGCCGAAACTCGAATCCAAAATGATCACAAGAAACCCATATCTCAAGCCCGAAGAAACACTGTTGGGCAGCGACGAAATTGCTAATGACTTCCATCGCCAGCTGATGAGCAGTCTTTTCTGCAGGTTTGCAAGCTCTTTCATGCCTTCGTATGTCTCTTTATCAGAGAAAGGCACCTTGCCGCCGATTGCACTGGGCCTTCCCATTTGTCCACCAGCTCCTGAAGTTTTTCAAATCCCTGAGGAAGAGATCTTCATGCTCATCAGTTTCCTAGTCCATGAATTTCATTTGACCGTAGAGGATGTTTCAAAAGGAGGAGGATAACGACGATTAACAAGCAAAGAGAATAACAATACTACCATGCAAGTTGTGAAGTCGCCGAATGATTCTTTGGGTCGTCTTTTTCGTTTCCGATAGTAGAACAAGGGCTCAAAAACTTTTTCAAGATCCTGAACTTTGATTTTGTTCATAAAAGTCCTTGCTGATTGAGTTTGATTAGGTGTTCCTCCAAGCCAAATCTGATTTTAACAAAAAAGAAGAAAATTATCAAGTTGTCCTACTAATTATTACCACATAAAGGTATCATGTCAGATAATCAAACTACCTGATAGCTGTTCGGGCCATCACCAACCAGTCCAAGCTCAGCCATGTATGGTCTAGCGTGTCACAGCCCGAAAATTATGGATTTATATTAATAACTTTAACTATTCTTTAGAGGGACTAATTTATGAGAATTCGAGAACTTAGGAACTATTTCTTAAGATTCCAATCAATTCAAGGACATGAATCATGAATTGCCATTTTCCTTTGGTTCAAAAATAAAATAATATGTGTGGTTGTGAATTTTGAACCCACCCCTCGAGAACCTTCTCTTTGGACCTTTACCATTTTAGCTATGCTACTGTAGATGATGGTATCTAACGAATAATTTATTTTAAATTGATTTAGGGGATTCTAAAAATGATATTCTTTGGTGCATCTAGTTTTACCTTTTTCCGTATGAAACTCAGCTTTCTAGGGCACTCATTTCTCTCCCTAACTCATCACTGTAATTGTTCTCAAACAGAGCATTGTCCCACGCCGAACAAAACCTGATCACTCTCGCGTCTGGTGGCCCCGCCATTTGCCGTGGAGATCTCATTGAACGTTCGCCAAAAAACTAAAGTTCTCCCTCGAGTTCTGTCGATTTCTCGCCGATCCCGAGCTTCGTTCGTCTCACCGCCACCGCCACCACCACTACCTGGTTCCCTACTATGTTCCAACCAAAACCCAGACGAGTCTTCTTCCCACCGACACGACCTCCATCGTCTATTGTTGAGGATATTCGTGATTCTCTTGACCGTTTGACTGCTCGACCCATTTCTTCTCAATCCGTCCAACCGCGTGAGTCATGACTACTAGGTCGTGTACTGCTTTTGATCGTAGCGATACCGGTGTTCAGTAGATTTCTCAGACCAACCCTTTTTGCGAGATTTGTTCCTTGTGTGCTATATATTTGTTTTTAAATATCTATCTGAATTACCATGTGCACATGAATGTTTTATATGATTTGAAACATGACCGATTTAAATGACTAAAAAAACTGATTCTGGTTTATTGATTTCTTAAATCCATGATATTTGTTTTATTGATTTTAAATTCTGGTTTCACTAATACATGTTCTTTGGTTATGTTTACTAAAAATATTTTTGGCCTCTAATTTCATGATTTACTAATATTGTCTGAAATTGTTTTTAATGGAAACTTATGGGATGTACTCTGGAAGCTCTGCAGGTTCAGCTTCGATCAAGCAATGAGATTAGTGGAAGACCTTATGGACCCTATGACACTCTCATAGGGTGTGCATTGGTTAAGTCCTTATAGATCTGAGGGCACTCCCCTCAGGTGGATCCTATGCTTCGGCTAGGATAAGTCCTTATAGACCCAATGTACTCCCTTAGGTTGACTCCTAGATCCTATGGGCCTAGGGTAAGTCCTTATGGATGTAATTATGAGGAACTGCATTTAGTGTAAGGTTGGATGGTAACTCTGTGATTTTACTGAAAACTATATTGCTACTTTCATACTATGAAACTGAACTGATTTTAAAATTATAATATGTTTTTTAGCACCGTTGGAACACACTGAGCTCCATAGCCCACTTCTTCATCTTTTTCCTTTCAAATAATTTTGGATATGAACCCCAAACCCAACACTTGGAGGATCGACTCATTTCGTACAATATATTTTGTTATAATATTCTAATATTCCAAACTACCTTTATTTTGATGGCATGCGCCTATTATTTTGATATACTAGTTTTATGACCTATTTTATATCACCTTTAATGTATAGATTATCTTGTCAATGGTTATTGATATTTTGTTTCACTTGTGATATTTCATGTGTTATATTACTCGAGTTAAGTTTTACTATTATAACTATGTTTTTAAAGAGGTTTTGATTTTTAAAGTGTTGAACTTGTTTTGGAAATTTCTATTGTAATCCTCTAGATCTGGTCGTATCGTATAGGTTGGGTCTACGGGGTTACAATTTGTGGTATCAGAGTTTTTGGTTTTAAACCTCGGACTGTAGATAGTTCCACAATAAAAATACAGTTTTGAAATGTTTTACAAAATAAGTACTGAAGGCCATGTCACCAAGTTTTTACAAGTTTATTGTGTACGAGACTCCAAGTTCCAAATCTAACCCTAAGTTTTATCTTATGTAGTTTATCTAAAGACTACCCCGAGATGAGTACTAAACGAGGTCGACGATCTACTCGTGCGCGAGGTTGACCTATTAAATTTTTCGATTCAACGGTTGACCCATTACTTCGACATGACCTTCTTGCCCCTAGTGATTCTTCGATCCCGAGAGATTCGTTACCTGCCCCTGGTATAGGTTTGACTACCCCGATTGATGAGCATCAACTTCTAGGACCGAGCCTATTAGTGTTGTTATGGATGAGAATCTCGGTAGCCAATTTTTCCAACTGATTCAGGGTGCAGTTAGAGCAGCAGGCGTTACCACCCGAGGTTCCTAATTCTCATACCCTTATTACGAATAAAGTTAGGACCTTTGCAGACCCTACTGGTAGAACTCTAACTGAGGCCAAGGATTGGCTTTGCGATACCGAGAGACATATGGATCAGCTAGGTTTAGATCCATAGAGGAGATATTTGAGAGTTATATCTGTAACACCCCCAACCCGTACCCGACCCGAATACGAGTCTGAGGTGTCACATTGACTTTTCAAACTTTGACTCTTGACAAAATTCAAGGAAAATTTAAAACTTTCATTAAAATAAAGGTAATTTATTTACATAAATTGACCAAAATCAATCAGAGCATTCATAACTGACACTTTTCTTACATGCCAACACATTATACACAATAAAATACATACTTTATCAGTTACTTCTAATCTGATCTATTAGCAGTGTCGCTTTTCTTGCCACTCCTATTTCTATTCTTCCCGATTCTTGGTACCTTCGTGTAAATCACTTACACGCTAAGTCACAGACTTAGTGAGGTATAACATAAATATATGTATATACATGTATAACAATGAATTCATGAACATGCCTTCTTACCATTGATCATGACATTTCAACTTGCATGTATCTATTACACTATAACATATATGATGATAACATGCACATACATAAAACTTGTATTCTTATGCTAGTTTCACTTTAATTTATCTTTGGATCACCATATATGATATTTAGAATAGAAGGTACACGAGTACACTGAGGTTATGCACAATGTTGTCATCACAGCTCGACTAAAAACCCACTAGGGGCACTGAATATTTGTCTCAAAGGACCACTATGTCCTGAAGGACTACTGATAATCCTTCGACTCATGGCATGCCAATTATACCTACAACTCTCACATTAAGTAACATGGGCTTAATTATAATACAATTCTTATTTTCATATCTCTTCTATCACTTTTCACATAAACACATAATTTACTTCATATGAGTACACATGATCATTTTCATTATTTCTCATACCTGAATGGATTCTCATATAATTGAATTCATTCAAATAAGTTCATAGTAAACAATGAATAAATTATGCATGAAAGCACTATAGCATTAATACATATATAAATATGCATGTAAATGAATGTGAAATCATAAGTTTAACTATAAGATATAGACTCATCGCAAGTCTTATCTCAATACAATTTCATATGAGATATGCACTCACCTTAGCCTTGCTTTGACTAGATTCTAATCCTTAATTTGTTCCGGAACAAGATTATGTTATATAGCTACATAGTAATACATTGGTACATATCAGTATACTAATTGATTTATTCTAAACTATCACTTCTTAGGCTAAAAAGAAAGTTATTTTCATCTTTTAATGAAGGTATGCATCGATGCACTACACGTGTATCGATACATCCCTTAACGTGTGCATCGATGCACTCCTCCTGCATCGATTCACTAATTGCATTCGATGTTCATTTATTTGAGAATGCATCAGTACACATTGAATGTGTATCGATGCACACAACCCATAAATGTTATTTTGAGCACGAAAATCCCTTCATAATCCTCTCAACACTTCCTATTTCACCTCTTTTTATGTCTCTAACTTGCATACACCTACTTAAACTAATTATTATCCAATCAATACCTCTAAAACATAAAAATCCAATCATCCATATAAAATTCAAGAATCTCACTCAAATTCCAACATGTTCTAAATCTATGTCTAACACTTCATATCCCTCAATCAAGTTGGTGACAGATCAAATTCAACTTCCAATTCTCATTATGAACTTTATTTCAAAATTTCATTCAAGAACTCTTTACCTTTAATTCTTCCTACACTCTTCATCTTGTTGTTTTAAAGCAACTTAAGCTTTCCTTAAGCTTAATTAGCATCTAATGATCAGAACAAAACTTAAATTTCAACAAACAATTAGCTCATGAGAAACCTCACCTTTGTTTTAACCTCTTCACGTGTGGAGAAAGAAGAGAATAAGAGAACTCTGGAACCTTGTGTTTTTGCTTCAATCTCTTCTACGTGTAGCTAATATATATCTCTTTTTTAATTATTTTCCATGCAAATGACTATTCTATCCTTCAATTTCATCTTGCTTGTAATTTAACCCTATACCCAATTACAATACTATTCAATTATTCTGCTTTAGTCACCAAATTCTGAAGTTTTACAATTTAGTCACTAACCCGATATTGAGGTTGTTAGAAATCTCCCCCTTAAGAAAATTTATCCTCGAATTTTCATTACGTAAAGAGATGGGGTATTGAATCCTCATGTCTTCTTCACGCTCCCATGTTGCTTCTTCTACCTTATGATTCCTCCACAAGACTTTAACCAATGGAATAGTCTTATTCCTTAATTGTTTAATCTCACGAGCTAAGATTTGAACCAGTTCTTCCTCATACGTTAAATCCGGTTGAACCTCAATTTCTTCTGGAGTCACAATGTGGGAAGGATCAGATCGATACTTCCGAAGCATTGAAACATGGAAGACATAATAAATTTTCTCCATTTCATGTGGCAATGCCCATTGATATACCACTGGTCCAACTCTCTTTATGGTCTCATAAGGTCCAATGAACCGAGGACTTAACTTTCCTCTTCGACCAAACCTCAACACCTTCTTACAAGGAGGAACTTTGAGAAACACTTTATCTCCAATTT